CTGAGGCAAACTGGATTAAGTGACTTGCCCAGGGTCACACAGCTCGTAAGTTGTCTGAGGTCAGATTTGAACTCATGTAAATGAGTCTTCCTGATTTCAAGCCCGGTGCTCTATCCTCTGTGACACCTAGTTGCCCTGTATTTCATCTAAGAATGGGTAAAAGGGTTTGGTGGGATGAACCCAGCTTAGAGAACCAGAAGTCCATGGGAAATACAAGGAGTTGCTTGAGAAAAACCTAGTTTAGTAAGATAGATTTAGCCTTTGATGGTCTGTTTGAAGTGAATATCTTTCATCCATCGGGATGTTTTCATGGGTTAATTTCATGTTGCAGATGATGACACCGCCCCCCCCAAAAAAAAACCAAAAAAAAAAACAAAACCTGATAGCCTACAGGAACTTTTTCCCCCCAAACCTTCCATCCCACCTCTTACCTGGCCTAACTGCTATCTGATAGAAAACAGAATAAAGCCATTGTTCTTTTCTGCTGGTTTGCCACTGTAGTTATTTGCTGTGGGCATGGGAACATGTAACTTTATGCACAACTAGAGTGCTATGGTAGAACCACTTTTTTTGGAACTGAGATGGCTTGACTATGAGCGATTTATTAGGCATGTGGAAAATAAAGGCCTTCGAAGTTTAGAAAACTAGATCAGGAAACTATTTAAAGTTTGTTGCCATGTATTTCCTCCTTGCAGCCTGTGGTGTGGTGGATAGAGTGCTGGGTCTGGAGTCAGGAAGACCTGAGTTCAAATTTGGACTCAGACACTTCCTAATTGTGTGACTCTGGGCAAATTACTTAACCACTCTCTGCATGTTTCTTCAACTAAAATAAGGATAATAGCAGTCCCTATCTGCCGGGGTTATTGTGAAGATGAAATGAGATAATATTTGTAAAGTACTTAGCACATACAATGCCTGGCACACAGTAGAAACTGTATAAATGCTTTTTTTTCCTCCTGTCCCCCATAAGGGAGGATATCCAGGTAGACTAACTTTGGTGAGATTTGAGGGATGTACAAGGGTCAGACGACTGTCGGAGCTGAACTATTCAATTCAGGTTTCTAGAACAGCTACCAATATGCCTCTCCCATCCCTGAAATAAGAATGTGATGTAGCCCCTGCCTTCATGGAACTCGCAGTTTTGTTGACGAGATGTCTGTCTCGTGTGAAAAGATTCTAGTTCTATTACTGTATAAAACCTAATGTAATCAGGTATCCAGACCCGTGGCACTAAAAGTGTTGGAGAAGATGTCACATGAGAAAGGATGACCTGCCTTTGGACCATCTTGTGGGTCCACTGACTGGTGTGTGCCATCATGACTGTTGTACTCAGGGTACCATGTGGCCTGCAGAATTACTGAGTCTTTCTAGGATTTTCTGTTCGGGCCGATTTTAGCTGCTGCTATTTTGCTATGCTGACTGGTGGACGCTGAAATATTCTCCAGCTCTGCTTTTATAGCTTCTAGGGTGGTTCATATGTCTGTTTCTATGACTTTTGGCCATCCTACATGTTTGTTTGTTGCTGCTCAAAGGGATTTCATGTCTTCCTAGCTTTTCGACTGTAGGACACCCGTTTGCCTTTACAAGATTCATGATAGATATACTTTCCCAAACCGCTGTTTTGTAGTAGGACTGCACAACTGAGTCCAATTGTCTTATCATCATGTGTTCTCCTTCTCCTCCAACTCCCCCACAGCTGACACACAGATGATGATACTGAGGCAACTGTAAGATACTTCTGGGCTAAAGAACAATGACCTCTGGAGAAGTGTTAAACATATAGCTTATTGCATCATGCTCATTTGGTGCTTGGTATAAGAGAGACCGTTGGTGGAAGAAAGAATTGTTTGGCTTACTTTTCCATGACTGCATTAGAGAGTAACTTAAAAGTACCTTCAAACTAGAAGCCAGATTAGGACACTTTGAGCATTGTTATCTGGCTTGTTGGAATCTAGCTCAATTCAATGCCATACCAAATTCTTTATATGTGCAGGACGCTCTGCTAGGTGCTTGAGATGCAACAAAAAAAAAAAAAAAAAGAAAGAAAGAAAGATAGTTTCTTCCTCCAAAGCTTTTTTTTCTACTGAGTAGATGCAACATATGTGCACATGACTTAATGCTACAAAGGACATACAAAGAAGCAAAGCAAGAGAGAGCGCAAACACGTTCTAGTAACTGGAACAGATAAAGAGAAACCCTCTATAAGAGGAGGATCTAGGGCTGGGCTTTGACGGAAACTAGGGGTTCTACAAGGCAGAGGCAGGGAAGGACTGCACCTCAGACAGGGGAAACTCTGTGAACAAAAGTATAAAGTCCAGAGGTGAGACACTGTGCATGGGGAACAGATAGGAGGTCAGTTTGATAAGAACAGAGAGTACAAAAAGGGGGAGCCAGATTATGGAGGGCTCCCAGTGCCAGGCTGAGGATTTAATATTTTATCCTCAAGGCAGTAGGGTAGATTGAGGGATTTTGACTAGGGGGTAACATGGTCAGATCTCTTCTTTAGAAATGTTTCAATTTGGTGGCTCTTTAGAGGATGGATGGAAAGAGACTGGAAAAATAGGAAAAATAATTACAAGGCTTTGAATATGGAAAAAAATAATTGACTAAAAGCTATATTGTTTTAGGAAACCTTCAGACTTTAAATACACTTTCACATGTGTCTAATATCATGTTGTACATATCACTATATACTTTAGGAAATTTCCATCTAATGATTATTGTAGACTGCCCACCTCTAAAGTTAACAGAAATTTAGACTTTTTTTTTTAAAGGTGTGAGCTATGTCATTTAAGTGAGCTGTCACACAGTATGCCAGAATGCTTTGTTATTAAATCAGTTTCTTGATCTTAATACTTTGGCAGTCTGTTATCCTGAGTCAAGCGGATGCAAGAGATTTAAAGGGACTTCTGAAATCATGCAGCCACCTCTCAATTGTAATAGAAAATAGGTACAGTCTGATCCACTGAAATCCACAGATTGTCATAAATCCATGTTTTAGCCAACAGTTTCAGTCTTATCTAAGTCATTTGCCTGAGTTGGTAAGAAGGAACCAGATTAACTTTTCTCTTTCCTTACCTAACAAGGAGTGAATAGTCTAAAAGGCAAATATCACAAAGGACAAAAAAAGACAACCCAACTGCCATGATTATATCATTCATTTATAAAGCACTTTCCAGTCTACAAAGTACTTTCCTTACAACAACCCTATGAGGTAGGGAGTACAAATATTATCATTCTCATTTTATAGATGAAGAAATCAAAGACCAGAGTAGTTAAGCTACCTGTCTTGATCATTTCACAGCTAGAACTCAAACAGGTCAGAACTCCTACCCAGCTCTTAAAACTCCTTCCAGTAGCTCTTGCTGTCCCAGAGGGTCTTGTAGAAATAACAAAACTAGAGCATTTTCTAAATAATTGAGACTTGACTTTCACAGCATTTCTTTCAGTTTTGTTTAACTTGGAATATTTGTTATAGAAGAGTATTTCGTACATGAGTGTGTTATAGGTATTTCTTGGCCTTTTCACTCTGAGAATTTTATGTAAAGACCATACTTCACAAGAAGTACTTATTTATCCTTCTTAAATGATGGTGACAGTAGACTTCTAAATCTCAATATCTGTTGTGGTTTCCATTTTTGGACTGAAATTCCTTAAATCCTTCTACATACACATTAACCATGTCCTAGGACTCAATCTGCCTTTCAAGTAGCTATGTAAATCATAACTTTTCTCCTGGCTTTAGTTTTCTCTTTTGTGAAACGAGGGGAGTTGGGCTTAGTGATGGCTAAGGTTCCCTCTTACTCTAAATCTATGATCTTAGAATCTTCCAGTTGTAATATTTGATGTTCTGGGCTGCAAAAAGTTTACTCATCATACTCGTCTCTCAGTGCTATTCCAGAAGCTTGAATGGTAACTGTCCTTGTCCTCTTAAAGTGTTGGACATGAATGTGAAACCTTAGAGACTAGCTAGTTCGGCCCCTCTTATTATATAGAACAAGAAATAGTCCTAGGGAGGTGAAACGATTTGCTTATGATACGGCAGGTAGCATCAAAAAATAGGTCTAGAACTCAACTCTTTCAACACAAAGATGAATTTGCTGTCTTAGGTGGATGCATGCTATCATGGACAGAGTGCACTAATTAATTGTTGACTTTGCTTGGGGAGGGGAGATATAGTGTTTGCCTCCTTGAACATAGTATGGCCCTAGAGAGATAAAAAGGTTTCTTCCATATTGTTTTTGGAGGATTGGGTGGAGAAGGGGGAGGAATATGCTACCTTAGCATGCTACTTAGGAAAAAGTTGGCAAGTTGACCGTTCCAGGTTTAATATATCATTTGGGAGAGGCAGGTCGAGGAAATTTTCCTGGAAGGAATTGAGGGCAAGGAAGTTAGTTGTCCAGAACAACCCCCTGAGTGGTTTGGAAGCAAAAGCTAAGGAGCTGCTTGATCCTAATCCTTAATCCCTTTAAAGTTTCTGAGGAGGAAAAGGAGTGTGTTGGAGGTAGACCTCTGTTAACGTTAAATATGACCATTTTAGTTGTTAAGATGCCAAAATGCTCATAGAGTCAGGTTTGTATGTTTCCACTCTTGGCTATGTTGCTTTGAAAAAAATGGAACAATGTCAACTGTTACTGACTGAGGCCAGAGGACTCGATTTTCAAACAAGGAAATGCTCGCTTCTCACTAATGGTTTTCTCTGAGTGTGTCAGGCAAACATAATGACATTAAGTTTTGTTTCTTAACTAAAGTTTACCCAGAGATGAAAATGTTCTATTCAGTAAATTCCAGTCACTAAAAGAAAAACAGAATCAGCCTCTCACTTATATATGTTCTTTTTGACCTAGGCAACGCTCCTTGGCTCAAGTTATCAGTCTGACCTGGCTGACTGAATCTGCCTCTCAGAGCCATCAGCATTTTATTAAGCCTTTGAACTAAAATCTTTACACTTGATTTCCTGCATTGTTTTCAAAATGTTGTATTTTTTTTTTCTTTTTCAGTCCCTCCAGGAGTAATACAAAATGGAGCCCGGGTTCTGAGTCGAGGTATATTCCCTGGAGTTAGACCACTGCCAATCCACCCCATCGGAATGGCGGCTGCTGTGAGGTAAGTGATGGTGATGATACCTGTAGGGTAAGTCAGCAACATAGACTTGAACGCAGCCCTGACTTTTCCACAGTGGAAATCTGGTTGTATAAGAGAATAACCACCAAATAGGTTTAACAAATCTAGCTTTGTTTTCCTAAAGGGTTAAAATAATTCTCAGTGTTTAGAATGAAAATACTTTTTGTGTGGGGAAGGTTTATCCAGTGCATTTTTCAGGCCATCAGATCCTTGGGCTTCTAATCTTTTCAGCTGAAGAAACTAAAATACAGGGAGAGGGGTGAGTTCAACATGTTATACATACTTACTCTGAGAAGATTTAGAAGCAGAGATCTATGAAAAGTATAGGAAGTCTTTCCTTCCAGTAAGGACTCTTCTATCTTAGCACCTACAAAGGTCAGATCATACTTTATTCCAGCCATTCTCCTTCCACACTGGTGTGTGTTTGTTCTCATAGAGCTTCTTTTGACCCACTGGAAAAAGCCCTGTGAAGAGCAAGGTTGCTTTTGTGTACATCCTGCTATTTAAGGTTTCCATGTAGCTCATAATACTGATGGGTTTCAATGACTGCTGAGGTCTTCTGAAACCCAGTTTTGCCACGGTGTAAATAATAACAGAGAGGAAGTTTGGCATAATGGTTAGAGAGCTCACCAACCCGGGAAGCCCTAGGTTCAAGTCTTGCTCTCATCTCTGAAACATACTAGCTGTGTAACTCTAGGCAAGTTGTTTAACATCTCTGGGTTCTAGGAAACTTTTGAAGGCTCTTAAGTTGCAGGAAAGGTGCCAGCCTGCATTAGTAAAAGGAGTTTGCTCACCTAAGAGCTCCCCATACCAATGAAATCTCAAGACCTTTTTTCTATAAATAATAACATGATTTTTGAGGGAAGGGAAGGGAAGAAAAGAGTAGGATATGAAAAGGAAAGAGGGTAACAGGGAGGAGGGAGAATGGGGATTGGAAAGAAGCCTGTGTTATATATACTAATCATAATGCTGGATTGCTTTGAAAATAAATATGGCTCAGAAAGGCCCTTTTCTTCTAGTTCTCTATTAATAGGTCATGCTTATCCTTAGATTAATGATCTTAACCCTGCTCCATAAAGTAGGGTTACTGATGTTCATGCCTCAGGTTGTGAATGGCCTTTGATTTCTTGTTCTTCTGTTATAAAATATTTTTTTTCAGGCCCCCCTCATTTTCTCTCTCTCCTTCCTTGGGCTATTTTAATAACATCTATCCATTTTCATTAACAAAACTGAAACATAGATTTCTGCCACAATATTGATCATTCTTAGATTTGATCCAAGATAACATTCTTACTGGGAAGAAGATTGAACAGTGAAGATGAGGGAAATCTGTAGACGAGGAGTTGCCTTCCCCAAAATGTAGAAAAGAAGGTGACCTCCAGCAGGAGCTGAATTAAACCCTGCTGGTTTTAATTGTTACCTTCACATCCTGTCTTCCTTGCAAATTTTAATAATCACTGTCTGTAGTCCCATTTGCTTTGGAGTAGTGAGAATACAGAGAGGTTGAGAGGTGGCAGAGTGTTTGAAAGTGTTGACACAAAAACTGTTAAAAAAACACCTCGTTGTTAGTAAATGCCAGAAAATCTAAAGAGAAACAAAAGAAATGGAGTGTTTCCATTTTGCTCTGCCCATGATTTGACTGTTCTGAGACATGTTGGTCAGGGAAGATTTAACTTGGCTGGGTGGCAGACCTTATGAATTCAGAGTTAAATTGTCCAAGATAAACATGCAGTTTGAGTTTCAGAACCCAAGACGCATATACCATGTCTTGTAGTAGAGTTTTTAATGGATGAAATTCTGCCTCCGAAAAGGTGCATTGGGAAGTGTTTGAAAAGTATCCTAATTTACCTCTTTCATACCAATTATAATTGAATGTCCATCATTTTATTTTATTTCCCGTTTTGAAAATATGTTTGTTTTTGCGGTGTGTCAAATGAGCCTCAAGAGCAGCTCAAACTAAGAAAAATTAAAATACAGGGTGGGAGGTGAGGGGATAAAGAATAGGAAAAGGAGATGGGGTCAATAAATGGTCAGAATTATATCGGGACCGCAGATAAACCCACCTGGAAGGGACCAGGGGTTTTTGTGGTTGTTAATTTGTTCAGCAGGTGGGGAAAGGGAGCAGTTAGGAAGACTCACTAAGGATCTGTTTCCTGTTCTATTTCTCATGATAGAGCGTGTCTCTGTGTGTGTGTGTCTTTGTACAAATGGCTTATTCTTAGGTGAAAACATTTTCTTTGTGAAAGGCTTTTCTCCTTCTGCTTAGTGTCATGGGCCATGTTTGTTTACCTTAACTCTGAAGCTGCTATTGATATAGATGAAGTGTTATTTTATTACCTGATCATTACCCAGCTTGTGTTTGCTGGATTCTTCTGCATATAATTATGATGTGAAACCTCCTTGTTTAAGAGTGTCTGTCAATAGCATAATTGTCACTGTGTTGACTTTTTTACACAATAACTCCAGATATTGGCCCATCATAATACATGTGAAACCTGCCTATTTTTAATTTGCCTGGGAGCATATTCCCCGTAACACATCGTGCTCAAAATAACAACTCCCGACGTCCTTCAGCCTTTAGTTATCTGAGTCCTCTGCAGCTTTCTCAGTTGAGTATGTTGTAGCAAATACATTGGGTAGAGCAGAGACTACTGCAAAATGGGAGGGGAGGTGTTTCTTACATTTTGAGAGATGAAGAGGTCCCAAATACTTTAAAATCATCACTGGAGAATTCTGTATTCAAGAGCTTCACTGATACCTCCAGGTCAGGACTAGTCAACTTCTAGCCCTTGCCTAAGTTAGTTATTTTTGACCCAGGAGACTCTGGAGTCAAGTCACTTGAAGACTGGAGGTGGAGGGGCTCATTTACTGGAGAATCACTAGTGGGATGATGGGTGAACAACTGGTCCTTCATTTGGAAAAGGCAAAGGTTCTTAACCTGGACTATTGGGAGATATTTTCAAGCGTCTATGAATTTGAATAAGAAAACAGTTACATCTTTATTTTCACTAGCTTTTAACTGAAATTGAGCATTTCCTTCAAATTATTTAAATCATTAGTCTGAGAAAGTGTCCGTAGGCTTCTTCAGACTGAAAACGAGTCTGCAATATAAAAAGATTAAGAACCCTTAGTGTAAGAATAGCTTACTGGTTGGTCTTGCTCCCCATCTACAAGCTTGGCCTCAGTCCGGTACTTAAGTTTTAGCAAATTTCGGGTGAATGAAGGCTTAAATTGGATTACTTGTCCCACTTGGTTGCTACCTAGAACCTAGGTGGAAAACACTCTACATCTCTTTAGGCGCAGAAGTAGACATGAGGGGGAAGCCATTAGTTTAGGACTGGTTGCTTTAGACTGGCCTAGTTATATTCCAAACTACTCTACAAAATTAAAATAAAATGACTCTCTACAATCAATCCCCTTTGAGGCTGCATACAGTTTGAATGAGTGATATAAAATACTTCCCTCCACTGGCTTCAAAGAAAACGTCTTAGCTACATAAACTCCAAGTGCATCAACCAAGGTCATAAGCCCGGGCCCGCCTGCAATCAGTAAAACTAGTTTATAGGGACAGCTAGGTGGCGCAGTGGATAGAGCACCGGCCCTGAAGTCAGGAGGACCTGAGTTCAAATGCGGCCTCAGATCAAACACTTGACACTTACTAGCTGTGTGACCCTGGGCAAGTCACTTAACCCCCATTGCCTTAAAAAAAAAAACTAGTTTATAAAGTCATTGTCAAAAGGGAACAATCATAACAGTTGATCCCTTGTCCTAAGACCTGTCACTTGTCAGTTTTCTTTGTTTTTCCATTCATCAATATGTCCTGTTTGCTTCTAAAAAAATGAGGTGTTCAATCTTGCTTATCAGGCTGGGTCTGAGATGTAGTAGTGCAGGGGTTTTTGGTATCATGAACCCCTTGGGTAATCTGGTGAAGCCTATGAACGCCTTCATAGAATCATGTGTTTAAATGCAAAATATAATGCATAGGATTATAAAGGAAACCAATTGCGTTTGAATACAGTTATCAAATTTAAAAAAAAAAAAAGAAAGTTCCTGGCCCCTATCTCTTTGGCAAGAGTAACTTAAGAGAAAGGCCCAGATTTGTAGAGAAGGCCCATTTTTTAAGTTCAATCTCCAGTTTACCTGGTCTCCTTGATTCTTTCTTTAAGAAGGTAAATGGTAGAGGTCAGGACATAATTGGGCTTTTCAGAACAGTAGGAAGAGAAATTAAATATACAAAAAAATGAATGGAGGACATTAGAGACAGTTGTTTTTTTTTTAAAAAACCCAAGTATGATTTCTTTATAATATTGAGATAAGAACTCATCTGTGAGTACTAGCAGACCAGCTAGGTGGTAAAATGGATAGAGCGCTGTACTTGGAGTCAAGAAAGCCTGAGTTCGAATCTTGCTTCAAGTACTAAGCCATATAAACCTGGTCCAGTCACTCATCTGCTGCAGTTTTCCTTACCTACAAAATGAGGATAATAGCACCTACACTACAGAGCTGTTATGGGAACCAAATGAGAACTTGTGTGCAGTGCTTTGCAAACCTTTAAGTGCAATATGAATGTTAGCTATTGTTATTATCATATTATTATAGCAGTATATAGTATACTAATTGATAACTAATAATATGCTGTTATTCTTATTATCATAAGAAATTATATTTTCTACAAGGCTAGGGGGAGGCAGTAAGACAGAGGTAGAGGAAAAGTTTATGGGATTAAGTTCCCAGCTAGACCCACTGCTCCCACCAAGCATAATTAACGTAAGCAGCATATTTTGTGTTTCTGATTATTCTGAATTCTAAGCCATTGCCAAAACTTTTCATATGTAAAATGTGACATAATGTCACACCTCATCTTCCAAATGTATGCCCACAGCCAGCCTCTGTGTAAATCCTTCTGTGCTCTACTGTTTGTTTTTTTTTGTTTTTGTTTTGCTTTTTGGTGAGGCAGTCAAGGTTAAGTGACTTGCCCAGAG